GAAAATCTGATCCCGTGGAGTGAAGTTAAGTGTGTGCTATGGTTTCCAAGTCTTGATGGCTATTGTGAAAATTTGGAAAGACAGAGAATTCTGGTGCAGAACTTTTTTGAGTACTTAGCAATCAGAATATTGGCCCATGCCTTGTATGAAGTTCAAGTTATCCTTACCATGAACAATATCAAATTTTCTCAACTGCAGGTAATTGTTTAAAATTGTTTTACTCTTGCAACTTCCAGAATGGCTAATTTGATTTACTGGTATAAGATGATGGTCATGCAATTGAATTTTTTTTTTTTTTTTGTTTTTTTACCTGTGTAACAAATAAGTAACATGAGCAGTTCTGATTGAATGATGGAAAGCTATGTTCAGATGGTGTAGCCTATAAACATTGGTGGTTTACATGATGATGAGAAGTTGAAATTTGAATTTTGTGTTTGTGGTTACAGGTGGAAAAGTTGGGAAGAGACAGCTTCTTCTTCCTGACGGAGTCATTTCCGTTTGATGAGATGAGTTTTGGGGAGTTGGCGGATTCTGTCAGTACAAAGAGGACAATGTTGGTTTCAAGGCCCATCTCCTACGTCTTTGACCTGCACCCTCCTACTGACATTCAGTTTGGCGACTATGCTTCGTTACTTGACAAATGCCTTCATGGAGAGTGATTTTCATGGCTTCTATGTGTGGTTTTATAGTTAATATCTGTATGCATTTAGTAGTTTCAGTCTTTTAGAGGGGCTTTTCTGACCAGGAAGCAATGTTTTGTTTTGTTTTGTTTTCAGGTTTCCTTGATAGAAATACCCCTCTTAGTTTAGAAGCAGAATGTATATAACTTTATATGACGTCTTTAATAAAATCAAAATTTAAAATAAATTAATATATTACATCATGTGTTTGCCATATATAGTTTTATATCAAGATTTTATCTTACAAAACTAGGGCTGTAGCAAGTAGCTTCGCTCGTGATGAGCTCAGACTTGACTCGTTAAATAACGAGTCAAGACTGAGTTGGAGTTTGACGTTGGGCTTGTTTATTGTTTCGAGCCGGAGTTCAAGTATGGGTATACTCACTCGGCCTCTTAGGTTTGGTTCTGGTTTTAGGGGATTTTTGGCTAGATTTCAAACCTATAGGGACTCATTCGTACTTTTTTAAAGGTATTTTTTAATATTTCAAAACTTTAGAGACTAATCTAGTTTTTTTGGTCATTTTTGCAATATCTTAAAATTCTAGGGACTAAATTAAATATTTAAATTTTAGGAATTAATTTACATTTTTTTATATATTTTTTTTTGTTGACATCATCGGTCTAATCGACCGATTGGATCGATCATCCCAGGAATTGGGCCCTTGATCGGGTCAATGTTTGATCTAGTTTTCAAAACCTTGCTTGCAAACTTTGAGATGCTCACAAGCAATTGACGAGCTTAGGGAGCTTTCGATTGTTTGCTAGCTTGATGAAGCTTTACGTATTTGGGTAAGTTACATAACTTACCCAAATACACGAGCTTTCATTGAGCTGGCGAACGATCACGAGCTCCCTAACTTATGTATGTGTATCTCCAAATATTTCCCTAAACCAATACCCCTTTGACCCTTTCCAAGCCATTCACGAACTTTAGTCTCCAATCTTCGAACTTCATCACCTTTCCACTGCCGTTCACCTTCCAATTCATTGTCAGCCTTCAAACGACGAAAGTGCAGCTCTGCCTCGTTAATTGTTGTCATTTTTTTTCTTATATATAAAGATTTAATTAACATAAATTATCTTGTGTTTTGAAAAATATATTAAGTGAGATATGTTTGTGTTGACGCTTGATTTTGGATGCCAACGACTCGCACGTGCAAAGTGCGAAGAGGATCTTAGAAATTACACGTGATAGATCCATGAGATTTGAATATGGAACTGAGATTATATATGTTGCAGAAAACATAAATAATAGGCTAACAAGAGAGGTTTTTATAATGGTTAGGATGCTCAAACAAGCGACTCCTACATCCACTGTTATTTTATTGATCTTTGACTATTTCTATGATATTGTCCGTAAGGCATACAAAGATGAAGAAATACAGTATTTACAGAGAGAAAGAATTGAGCTTGAATATATGTTTTAGCTCTCATATGCCCAACCCCCCTCTTCGGAAAGAGAAGTGCCAATTTTTACACCTAAACACTCAATGTAATGAGTGTTTTGCAAGTTGTCTTGACACATGGAAGACTCTCATCCATTCATTTATTGAAAAGAGATAGAGTTGGTATGAATATCTTTGATGAGATATAGGCTTGACAGCAAGTACAAAAAGACATTTATTAGGCTGACATAAGCGTGACTTTTGAGGCATAACAGAAGCCCCCCAGTTTTTGGAGTGCGTAATCGCGCTTCAGAAACTAAGGTCTTTGATCTGAATGGCTGCAGTCTCGAACTAAAGAGCTTGAACTATTCTTGGCGTGATCGAGTGCTGAGAGCTAGGAGCTGATCACGATTTGTTAGGAGCTCGACCTGAAATCTGTTAGGAGCTAGACCTGAAATCATAACAAGCTCGACCTGAAAGCAAAACGAGCTCAATCTGAGCAAATTGAGCTCAACTTGAGAGCAAAACGAGCTCAACTTGAGAGCACGACAAGCTCAATCTGAGCAAAACAAGCTCAATCTGAGATCATAACGAGCTCAAATTGAGAGCAAAACGAGCTCAATCTGAGATCATAACGAACTTAATCTGAACAAAACGAGCTTAACTTGAGAGCAAAACGAGCTCAACTTGAGAGCAAAACGAGCTCAATCTGAGCAAAACGATCTCAACTTAAGCAAAACGGGCTCAACTTAAGAGTAAAACGAGCTCAATCTGAGCAAAACGAGCTCGACCTCAAAGCATAACGAGCTCGACCTGAAAGGTCATAACGAGCTCGACCTGAAAAGGTCATAACGAGCTCGACTTGAGAGGTCATAACAAGCTCGACCTAAGAGCATAAGAGATCAACGATCTCAGCGTGTGATCAGCGATCTGAACGCGCGATTTAAAGCTAAAGATCAGCGATCTGAAGTCGAGGATCAAGACCACATGTGCGTGCGATCTGCGATATGGCCATGCGATCGGAGAACTCTGACGCGTGCGATCTGGCCAAGCGATTGGAGAATTCTGACGCGTGCGATCTGGTATCTAGCCACGCGATTGGAGAACTCTTACGTGTACGATCTGGCCACGCGATTGGAGAATTCTAACATGTGTGATCTGGCCACGCGATTGGAGAATTCTGACGCAGGTTTGAGATTTGAGCACGCCATCAGGGAACTTGGACGCATGTTTGAGAATTGGACCTACATGGGCCACCAAACTGTTGACGCTTGATTTTGGACGCCAACGACTCGCACGTGCAAAGTGCTAAGAGGGTCTTAGAAATTACACGTGATGGATCAATGAGATTTGAATATGGAGCTGAGATTATATATGTTGCAGAAAACATAAATAATAGGCTAACAATAGAGATTTTTATAGTGGTTCGAATGCTCAAACAAGCGACTCCTACATCCACTGTTATTTTATTGATCTCTGACTATTTCTATGATATTGTCCGTAAGGCATACAAAGATGAAGAAATACAGTATTTACAGAGAGAAAGAATTGAGCTTGAATCTATGTTTTAGCTCTCATATGCCCAACCCCCCTCTTCGGAAAGAGAAGTGCCAATTTATACACCTAAACACTCAATGTAATGAGTGTTTTGCAAGTTGTTTTAACACATGGAAGACTCTCATCCATTCATTTATTGAAAAGAGATAGAGTTTGTATGAATATCTTTGATGAGATATAGGCTTGACAGTAAGTACAAAAAGACATTTATTAGGCTGACATAAATGTGACTTTTGAGGCATAACAGTTTGTAATTTCCGTTCTTGAATTAGTAATTAATATGCAAAAGATTTGATTGTATGTTTTTTTTATTTACGTATGTAACAAAAACCAACCGTATCAATACAAAATCTTAACTTGAACACGAACGACTTACGCATACCCAAGGTTTACCGAAACGATAAGTTGATACCCAAAAGGTTTTAAAACGACAAACAGGTACCTTCCGTCATGTGCTGTTAGTGATTTCTGTTTGTTCATAGTGAAAAAACTAAAATGCCCTTAAAAGTTTGATATTTTAGTTTTTTATAAATTTAAAAATTTCTAAAAAACCCCCAAGATTTGCTAATTTAACTAAACACCCCCATATATAAAAAGTTTGTTAAATGGCAAAAATACCCCCACACCCGCAGTGCCAGATTCCGGCCACTACCGTCGGAATCTGGCCAAAAAATTGTGTTACGACACAGACTCGTCGGATCTGTGTCGTAACGTGTCAATTTGGCCTTTTCCGACTAGATCCGTGCTGATCTTGGGCCAGATCTACGGCTAGATCCGGCCATCGTGGTCGCAAAACTCCATCTGCGGCGTCGACGGCTAGATTGGCCGTAGATCTGGCCTTTTCTGGCCAAATCAGCCATTGATCTGGCCGGAAAAGGCCAGATCGATGCGTTTACAGCACAGATCCGACGGGGCCTGTGTCGTAACGCAATTTCCCGCCAGATTCCGACAGTGGTGGTCGGAATCTGGCACTGCGGGTGTGGGGGTGTTTTTATCCTTTAACAAACTTTTTATATATGGGGGTGTTTAGTTAAATTAGCAAATTTAGGGGGTTTTTTAAAAATTTATAAAAAACTAAAATATCAAACTTTAAAGGCACTGCCGGAATCTGGCACTGTGGGTGTGGGGGTGTTTTTATCCTTTAACAAACTTTTTATATGTGGGGGTGTTTAGTTAAATTAGCAAACCTATTGAGTTTTTTAAAAATTTATAAAAAAACTAAAATATCAAACTTTAAGAGCATTTTAATCTTTTCACTATGAACAAACAGAAATCACTAACAGCACAATCGATTTTAAAACCTTTTAGATATCAACTTGTCTTTTTAGATATCAACTTGTCTTTTGCTCAAACCTTGAGTTTGCGCAAACCTTGAGTTTGCGCAAATCGTTTGGCCTATATAGGTCCATCCATTAGCACTTAACAAGCAGAAATCAGCTGAAGTCCAACTCCATATCCATAACAAGTAGAGTTAACAGTATAAGTAATTGCATAATTGTATTTGTATGATTGTATCTCCGCTCTGCTGCAAAACAGGAAATTCAAAAAAATCTACTTAATGGTTGTTGTTGATAATGAAAACCTAGAGTTAGAGACAAAGAGAGAGATCGATGATGTCACAGTCACACAAACATCTAGATTCACGCCACTCTATTGGTTCCTGCACCTTTCAGCTCCACAACTGGAGACCCTTTCATCTCCACAACACTAACACTCTTGACTCCGATTCTTCTAAACCCTACTCTTCCTCCAATGGCGTCTACAGTAAACGTCCTTGTCTCTCCGATCGTGCCACCTCCTTCTCCATCATCGACGCCATTGACATGTCCAAACTCTCCCTCATCGATGACGATAAACCTATCACCGCTGCACCTTACAAGAGACCCACTCTTCGATTAGTCCACAGAAAAAGACGCCGCCGCGGCTCCAGGTCTGTCTCTGGTAGGAGTAGCGACCGTAGCGGGACTCGCCGATGCTGCTCTGTGGGAGCCTCTGCGGCCTACGGTACGTGCTCGGATTTTCCTGTTGCCGTGGGCACGGATTCAAGCGGCGAACTTTTTGTGAACGGGGAGGCAAATTGGGCGTCGGATGTAAGTGAAGCCAAGAATTCAAGGAGGGATAGAGATCATGGAAGTGGAGAGAAGGAGAATTTGGGAGTTGGTTTTGGTCAATTTGGGGGTTTAGATGCTCCGGGAAATGAATCCGGGTATGGGAGTGAACCCGGTTATCGTGGGGATGCGGAGTTCGGATATGGCGATGAGTTTGATGAGGAAGAGGATGAGGGCAGGTTGTTATTTTGGGGAGAGCATTTGGGAGGTATTGAATAGTCTATGTTTTTTTTATTAATTAAGTTATTTATTCTGTTTTTATCCTCTTTTAACTGTAATAATATGCTATGTCTAATTTTTATAAGATTAGTGGGTGCTCAATCTTCCTCTTGACAATTAACTTACCAAATGTAGAAACCGGTTATTATTTGGGAAGTGTGTTTATTTGAAATATTTACAGCAATGCTGCTTGCATAGCTCACTTGTGAGTGGTTTTAGTACCAATGGTGCCAATAATGTGAAAAGGATAGTTCAAACTTGGTTCTGTCACAACTGGTGTCAGTAACCTGAAGGGGCTGAAGTATGATTTCTTGTGGAAAATTGTGAGCAGTAGGCATGTATTTAGGTTGTAAATGTAGTTGGATCAAAGTAATACAATCTAATGACTAGTTATCCTGGAACATTTGAACTCTAATCATGAATGACTATAACTTAGTTGCTGGAATCACAAAAACTGCATGTAGAATAAAGTACTTTTCTTTGCTGCATTTTGCTACGCATCAAAGCTTCTCAAGCATCACGTCTTTTGTGTCAGGGAAGCCTCTCTACCTGTTGAATGTAATTGGCCTGGAAAAGTTAGGATCTTTTTATGCAGAGGACGTTATGCTATATAGAATAACCAACATAAGCTTCATCTTTTCTATTATGTATTGGTACTGAAAATATCAAAGATTGATCAATGCTGCGGGTTTCAGGAAATTACGCTAGTTTGGGGTTTTTTTTTAATTTTTAATTTTAATTTTTTAATTTGTTCATGAGTTGATGAAGTAGAGGGTGTGGGTCTGTAGGAGATGCTTTTTCACTTTGTGACTTACTGATATTTAAATCCCTGATGGCTTTAGATGTTTCAATGCTGTGGGAATAACCTTTTTTCTGTTTGTTTTGAAGTGTGCATTTTTGTCTTAAATCTTAAATCTTATGGCCTATGTTTTACCGTTTGATATATATCTGGCTTAAAAGTTAGAATGTTGCATGGAAGTTTAACAGCACTGCCCTACATATTTAGAGACAAAAACTGGTAAAATACTTTATAGGAGATTTAAAGGGCATTGTTGAAGACATAAGAGAACTCATTTTGATCAATGCTCTTGGTTTTGTAATCACTGGATGCTAATTTTTTATGATCAGGATCTTGCAATTGAGCTTACGGTATTATTGTAGTGATAGATCTAAGAAATCCTAGCCATGGCAGACAATATTTAATGAAAGCAGCAATGGGTTTTTTACATATTTGTGGGTTCAGTTTTTATATTTAGGGTTTACTTTCTTATTTTTTCACTGATTTTTGTGGATGATTTAACCTACATGGATATAGAATGGTATAAGGGCTTTTTGGTTTGATATTGTGTGGATCTTTTATACCACACAGAAGATCTGGTTGTCTATTTTGTGGACCTCCAGTTCACTCTTGTAAACCTGCTTTCTTTCTTCCATTGGTAAAATTTGTGTTAAAAAAAATTAATAATAGAAGCAGCAATGGGCATTTTTTAATTAGTAACTGTTGTTTTACTCCATTCACCTGTGTAGAATCAGTATTCTCTTGGTCTCCGGAGTTCATTTCTTTTCATTTTGTTCGAATTCTGGATGTTGCTATATTAATTATTATGTACCTTGTTTGATGATGGTACCAAAAATTCATGTCTTTGTCTTTGTTCCATACTAGCTCAAAGTAAAACAACTGAAAAGGGAAAAGTTTAAATGTAATAGTCACTGCATGTTTTAAATTATTTAGTTTAGATTTCTCGTTTATATACTGCTTGTATGTCTGTATAGATATCATCCGAAGAAGTTTTTATTTTACTCATCTTCTTTGCGAAATTGATTGTATAGTGATTGGCAATGTGTATGAAAGAAAGAAAGAAGGAAGGAAAAGAAAGATTGATAGCATATCAAAGATTCTTTATTTGTACCTAAGATTACTTACGTCTCTTCTCTGCCTATTTATGCAAACATGACAATCTGAGATTTGGTTCAATTCACTGATATGCTGTTTTCATGCAACATGTACAGATTCAAAAATGGAGATGGTTGGGGAGAACACATTCTCTGATAAAAAATCGCATCTCAGATGTCGCCGTAAGAAACATGACTGTAGAATGGTTGATTTGCTGAAGTAATCAATCTTTTCAGCAAATATTCACAATATAAATCATCTTTGCGACCCTGTGTTGTCTTATTCTTTTCTACATTTTGTAAGATTAGCAGTTCTATCCTGAAGCCATCATGAATTGTAAAATGTTTGAATAGAAAACTGTATTTTCCTATGTTATGTTAATGACTGAAGAGCTGTAATTTTCTAGTTGAGTTCTTGACCGACAATTAGCTGCTTATGGTAATTTTTTAATTATTCAAAATATATCTCCTGTGTACCGAATATTTTTTTATAATAAACAGAATAATTGACAACCAATTCTCACTTTCTCAGACAATTATAAAAGACTAAACTAATAACTTTTTATTTATATTATTAATTTATCACTTTCTTTTTTCTTTGGACGAAATTTCTTTTATTAAAATATTAAATATTGATAGTTATCTATATCAATTTGAATGCATAAACTCGGCTCCCATGTCAGTTTGTGTCTTGTATAAAAAAAATGTTTATTTTAAGAAGTCGATCCCCACTAATTCAAGTAAATGTATATACGGTATTAAAAAGAAAGCGGAAACGGCGTCGTAACAATTCGGTGTTTCATGTTTGAGTGTGATGGTTTTTTTGTGATGAATCGAGCAGAGTTGTTGACTGTCCGGTTTTTAAGAGAGTAGAGAGAAGATGGTGAGAGGCGAGGTATTGAGAGCGTACAGAGATTTGATAAGAGCCACAAGGAAATCATTCGCCGGAGACAACTTGATGCTTAGAGAATCTGCCAAAGAAATACGTAAGAAATTCAATGAGAATCGCCATGTTACCTCTGATACCGAGATCCAGAAACTCCTTGAAGAGGCACGTACAGCCTCTCATTTCATCTCAACTATGATTGTCCAAGCTAAACTCAATGAGCGTGGTGGCTTCGGTATGTTATTCCTATTCTTTTCCTTTCCTTACCTTTCCTTAATCTCTGTTATGTGTTCGTTAAATTGTCTGTGAGAGGGCATTTAATATTTTGACCTGGCAAGAGAAATTCTTTTCCTCTCCTTAATCTCTGTTATGTGTTCGTTAAATTGTCTGTAAGTGGGCATTTAATATTTTGACCTTGCAAGAAAAATTAATTTAGCCCTTAATTTTTAATGCCAATCATCGTTGATGCAGAAGTGAAGCCTGGTAAAGAGCATGCTGGAGCAACGCTTGAGATCCCTTCTGAAGAGCTTCTTCGAAAGTCTGGATAACTGGTGAAAGTTAGTCATGTGCTTCAGCTTCTGCTTCTTTCTCTTCGTTTAGTTCGTGTTATTGGCTCTAACAATTGATCATGAATGAATATCAATAATTATGCATTTCTTTTTGGTGCTTTTTAACTACTACATCTATCTTTGCCGTCAATTATATGTATCTTTCCTTGCGGCCAAGGTAGGCAAATAAACATTCATACAGTTTTAAAGCAGAATCTATTTCATCAAATTAAGTATGTTTATCCTTTACAACAATTCTAAAAACCTAAGATAAAATAATGTATATATGGGATAATAATAATATGAGCTACTGCTGCCAAATCCTCTGATAAGTAAGCCTATTCATAGGGCCCCCTTCATCTTCTGAAGCACCCAATTCCGAGATGACCATCAGAAGTGACTTCGTTTACCAGAAATAATATTAAACCCCAATCTAGATCAATATTAGTCTTCTACATCCGCACTTCCTTGAGCTTCTTCTTCGTTCTCCTGCTTTTTCTTGTCACCAAGAGGTCCTGGAGAGAGCAAAAAGTAGAGGAAATTAGAAGAATAATTTTAAAGGAAACAAGAGAGTGGATGGTCATACGCAATTTCTACTCAATATGTTACTTTTATTCTATGTTGATATACCAATGAAAACAAATTATAGGTACGAAATTTAGACATACCATATTCACTGAATAAAACTCCACCAGAACATAATCCTACCTCAAACCTTTGATGAGTTGTAAAGTCATTCTAGGTCCTATCTCCTGAAGCTTGACAGCACTTTTATAACTCTACCAAGATCATTCATCAGAGTCACTGTTGTTGCTGCATCATCAGCTTCACTTTCTGTCCCGAAACCAGCCCTTCGATGATGTCTGGAAAAGAGTAACATCTCATTAAAATGCTCAATAGAAATGAAGGAATTTCGTCATTCAGTATACAAATAATGTGGAGAAAACCTTCTCATCTATTTGTTCTGTCAGTTTCAGGAGGACTGCCAAAGAATAATTAACATACAAGTCGAAAAAAATACAAGATACTGCATAAGTCAGCCAGAAAAATGATGCTAGAAATATTATTTCAAGTGGATTTATAATGGAACTAGAATATGAAAAGATCATAATCAATTTTTATGGTGGTAATCAAATTATTCACCTTTATGCCCACCAATGCACATATTATTGGATAGCAGATATACGTAATAACAAAATCACTCATGTCTTGGAGACACCTGAGATTAGGGACTTGATGATTCTGAACAAAAATTTTAAGTCTACCGGAAACATCTACATGCTGTAGTCTGATAAAACAATTCTCTGGCAAGTAGAAAGCTTGACCTGACCACAAATAAAATAACAATAACCATAGGAGAAAGGTCTAGATGATTTTGGCTTAAATTATAGAGTTTAAGTAGTCACAGTGTTAATATCAATTGCCGGAAAGATATTCTAAAACATAAGAGTTGTGAGCTTTAAATGATGATCTCCAGCTCCAAAACCAGAAAGAACAATCTGCCTGAATTGTATTCAAAATGGCAAATATATAGCAAGAGAACAGAAACTCCATTACCTGTTTAGAGCATTCTTTTCATAAATATATAATATCGCTTCCCTCCTAATATACGTTGAGAAGCACTGAAATAAACTAATATAGATGAGCAAGATATACACGTGAATCAGACCTAGAGGTGATCAAGACCCACCATTTATAGTAAATTTCTCATAATCAAGCCATTTCATGGCATTGAATTGAATAAAAGAAATGTATTATTTAGACCAGACAATATTCTTATTAAGAAAAAATAAATTCCAAATAGCTGGTCAGTTGATAATGAAGTGATTTTCGGTTTGGAAGACAAATATAATCGGGACATAACTGGTAGTGAGTAGCAATATCAAATTAATCACAAAACACATTTAGGATCTTTATCACCGGTGATATGATCCACATTTGGTTGCTGCTTCTTCACAAATCCCTTCTTCTTCTGCTTTAATTAAGAAAACAATGAGTTACTACAGACACTCAACTCATAGGCCAATTATTTGGCATAGAAGCATTATCACATGTTAAACTTTCATCAACTGTAATAATAATATAACATAATAAAAAAACAGCATTTTACTTTATTTTCCTTATAAAAAGAATATAAAATTTCAAGCAAACATATGATATAATGATATATGGAGATCCAATATAAATGTTCTTATTAACAAGGGTAAGCATTATAGATATATGGAGATCCTTGAATTTTGAGTGATAATCAAATTGAAAAATCTTTCAAAGGTTCATCATAATTGTCCTATAAAGAAGCCAATGAATTAATGGTTCCAAAAAAGAATGTGAATGTTGTACAACTACTGTAGGTAGTGCTAGGTTGGAATAGAAACACCTTAAATTTAGTCTCGAGTGTTCATAATACGACAAAAAGAAAAGGATCCCTGTGAAGTTAGGTGTAGCGTTGTTATTATCATCATGTGAATTGCATCACTGATTTTACAGATCGAAATCTGGTTAGTTGAGCTAATGAAGATACTCCACAGCTTCCTCAAGTAAACTTTGATAAAGGCTTCTTAAGTAACAGTATAGTACTTGTTCTTATAATTACAATCGTACAAGGAAATTAATTTCATCATCTTTATTGTCTCATCCTCCTATTCTTGACAAACCAAAGTCATCGTGATAATAGGAACCTACAAAAAGTTCATTAATTTGTACAGCTTTACCGTATGATTTGATATTGAATGTGATCGTGATTGTGAGCAAGCAGTTGTTACTCAATTAAATATTACAGCATTATGGGAGAGGTTCGGTTTAAAGTGCTTACACAATGTCAAATTACATAACATGATTTGGAGTAATAGTATAATGTATTAATTTGAGTGAAGATGTAAATAAACCAAACAAATCTCTGTATTCGAGTGGAAAGAAAGTCTTATCCTTCATGAACTCACCTGCCAATTCACATGTTCTACACTTTGTTATATAATTTCTCTGTTTCAGCTGACCACCCCACTCATTTCACCGTTTCTTTATTGTGACTCACCAGCCTCTTGCTTTTATCGCAACTACAAAAGCCCCTGCACTTTCCAAGTCACTCTATCCATCTAAACCCTTTATAAATCTTACCTGTAAATCACTTACTTCCTACAAAAATATCATACAAATGACTCTTCCCTAGTCTTCTCCTGTTTTCTACTTACCATCTGTGCGGTAGTAGCATTGTATCAGAGTGTTTCTTTTTCTTTTGTGCATTTCTTTCTCACCCTTTTCAAGTAATCGTTATTAAGAGAATGGCTCGTCACAGCATGTTCATAATCATGGCGGTCATACTCCTTGTTCGGCTCACAAATTATGGCGCATCAGCATGGGTAAACGGGCAGAATTATGTGCGAAATGCATGTAGCGTCACCACATATCGTGACCTTTGTATTCGCTCACTAGCACCATTTTCCAGCACTGCTAAGACAAGTCCTATCAAGTGGGCACGATTGGGGGTTTCGGTGACAATCGTTGAGGTCAAGAGTGCTAATCAATACTTGAACAATCTGAATAAACTAAATTGTATGAAAGGGAGAAACAGATTGGCCCTTTTAGATTGCATCGAAGTCTTTCAAGATACAATCGATGAGCTCCACAAATCACTGGGCATACTAAGGAAGCTAAGTGCAAGAAATTTTGTGAGACAAATGGATGACCTTACTACATTTATGAGTGCTGCACTCACTGATGAAAACACTTGTTTGGACGGTTTTCAAGGCCAAAGTGGACGCCAAGTTAATCAGCTTAAAACTCGAGTTTTAAATTCGACTTATTTCACTAGTAACGCCCTGGATCTTGTTGGTAAACTTTCAACCTCTGGTTTCGAAAGCCTAAACGATCCATAGGAGATATATAGAAGAAGTGACTGTATATCTTCTATCTTAAAGTGGTTTATGCAGATCACGTGATGCTAAGTCTGGAATGAAATAATAAAAACCTATATGTTGTTTCAATGAGCTTGATTTTATTTTTAATCTCCCTTTGTAAAGCCCCTGCGTTGAAATTTAAAATAATGCAAATGATATTTTATGTTAAACGGCTGAACCATTTTTTCCATTCTGAACAAGTTTCATTTCTTGACACGAGTACGGATGGCTAGCCCATTTGAGCCTATCGGTATTAGCCACAAGGCGTGATTTGAAAGTGTGAAGGAGTGGGTAATAACTGTAAAGTTAGGCCGTTTTGTTGACTTGGATAAATTCTTGTTCAACATAATCAAGGAACCATCAATTGACGTGCCATCAAACCTAAATCAATTGAAGAGCCTTAAGTATCAACTGGTCCAGGTTAACCCCGTGCAGCCTCCAATGATCCCCGGCCTTCCCGTCACGTCTTTTTCACTTGTAATATTCAACTTATTATTAAAACATTAAATGTATAGACAGTTGGTGGAAGAATATATTTATATTTCTTCTTAGCAATAGTTTGGTGGAGAAGATCTTTATATTCATAGGATTAATAGGATTCATTGGAAACGGTAGTTTTTTTGTATTATCATCAATAATCACATTCACATGTTGATTCTTCCAATTCCTCTATGCCATCAAAGGGCTTTTAAATGGGAATAGATTAAATTTTGGGATAAAGACCTCCTTTATGTCAGTATCATTTGGAAAGAGTTTGGCACTTTCGGAGTTTAATTTTCAAACAAGTCGGAATCCATATTAATCGAGACAAGTCAAAAGGGTAGTACTGAAACAATCGGCTAATGGATTGACAATTGTCACTCAATTTGGCCGCTGCAAATCAGATAATGAATTTGCGAAGGTGATTTAATTGGAACATGTTATGAAACCAGGCAATTCTTGTGGCGGATTCTAGTAAAAATTAAATATCACGATGGAGAAATAATAATAGACGATGGCCTGGCCTATGCGTACGAAGCGGAAGTCTTTTATTTAGGTAGGGGGCGTATGCATCGTGACAAATCCGGTCGGTGTTTGTGGGGACCGAACCTCAGCTGGGGCAATGGCAAACTGTTGGACTGTTGGTAGCTTTTGAGAATTTATAGAGACTCATAAATTAATTGTGGCAGTTGAATTATACAGAATTTTGAATATCTTACTTGTCATGTGTCAAACCTATTCAACACGGATTTCATTATTATTGAAATAAATGTGTGATGCCTAAAAACTTATGGTTATTAGTAAATAAATGTCATTTTGTACTAGCTATTAAGCTCATATTTACTAAAAAATATTCATATCAATCCTATCTCATTTTAAGAGATGAATAAACGAGAGCCTTCCATGTATCAAAGTAACTTATAAAATACTAATTATATTGAGGACAAAGGTGTATAAATTGACACTTTTCTTCCCGAAAAAGGGGACTGGGCATATGAGAGCTAAACATAGATTTGAGTTCAATTCTTTTTCTCTGTAAATACTGTATTTCTTCATCTTTGTATGCCTTACGGGCAATATCATAGAAATAGTCAGAGATCAATAAAATAACAGTGGATGTAGGAGTTGCTTGTTTGAGCATCCGAACCACTATAAAAACCTCTCTTGTTAGCCTATTATTTACGTTTTCTGCAACATATATAATCTCAGCTCCATATTCAAATCTTATAGATCCATCACGTGTAATTTCTAAGACCCTCTTAGCACTTTGCACTTTGCACGTGCGAGTCGTTGGCGTCCAAAATCATGCGTCAACAGTTTGGTTGCCCATGCAGGTCTCAAACCTGCGTCCAAGTTCCCTGATGGTGTGGTCAGATCTCAAACCCGCGTTAGAATTCTCCAATCGCGTGGCCAGATTGCAAATGGCACGTGTCAGAGTTCTCCGATCGCTTGGCTAGATCGCAGATTGCACGCGCTAGAATTCTCTAATCATGTGGCTAGATCACAGATCACAAGCGTTAGAATTCTCCAATCGCGTGGCCATATCGCAGATCGCACGCGTGAGAGTTCTTCGATCACATGGCCAGATCGCACGCGTCAAAATTCTCCAATCATGTGGCCAGATCGCATGCTCAGGTCGTCCTGATCTTCGGCTTCAGATCGCTGATCTCTTGCTCTCAGGTTGAGCTCTTTATGCTATGAGGTAGGGCTCGTTATGCTCTCAGGTAGAGCTCGTTATGCTCTCAGGTCGAGCTCCTATCAGATCGAAATCAGCTCCTAACTCTCTGCACTCGATCGCGCCAGGAATAGTTCGAACTTTTCAGTTCGAGACTGCAGCCTATAGTGCAACAACCATTCAAATCAAATACCTTAGTTTCTGAAGCACGATTACGCACTCCAAAAACTGGGGGACTTCTGTTATGCCTAAAAAGTCACGCTTATGTAAGCCTAATAAATGTATTTTTGTACTAGTTACTAAGCCCATATCTCCTCAAAGATATTCATACCAACCCTATCTCATTTCAAGAGATGAATGGACGAGAGCCTTCCATGTGTCAATGGAACTTGCAAAACACTCATTACATTGAGTACAAAGGTGTATAAATTGACACTTATCTTCCCGAAAAAGTGGGTTGGGCATATGAGAGCTAAGCATAGATTTGAGCTCAATTCTTTCTCTCTGTAAACACTGTATTTCTTCATATTTGTATGTCTTATGAACAATATTATAGAAATAATCAGAGATCAATAAAATAACAGTGGATGTAGGAGTCGCTTGTTTGAGCATCCGAACCACTATAAAAACCTCTCTTGTTAGCCTATTATTTATGTTTTCTGTAACATATATAATCTCAACTCCATATTTAAATCTTATAGATTCATCATATGTAATTTTTAAGACCCTCTTAATGCTTTACATATATGAATCGTTAGTATCCAAAATCAGAGGTCAACAAAATGGCAAATATGTTGCGGCGAGAAGAGTGACATAGCAATAAAAACAATCAAAATCAAATGGTGGGTTTGAAAAAGAAAAAGAGTAAAATGATGGTTAATTAAAAGGGAAAAAGTAGAGTTGAAAGAAAAGTGATATTAATGTGGTTGATGTTCGTGGGATATGCTCTCAACTCTCATCATGCCACAAATAGTGGCTGCTAATGCTATTGCTAACTAAACAAACAAGGAAACATAATACAAAAGCAGACAAACGTGCCAAATCGTCATACTACCCACGTGTAAGGAGGAGAGTCAACGTCGCTTCAGAATAACGAATCCTCCCTCGACGTGCATTTCAAGTCCCATTTTTTTAAATCAACATCTTTTACGTATTTCTTGTCTTAATTTGGTTATATGTTGGACATTTTTGGATGTTTTACTTTTTACCTTATTAATACAAGGCTATGTGCAATGTCGACCATCATTTTTATTCAACTTAAAAATAATGTGATAACTATTATTATTTTAGTATTTAAGGATGTTCAAGTTAATTTATACACACTTTAATTAATCATTTAGAATCTTAAAATTAATAATTAGACAAGTTTTCAGTTGTAACCCTTATTAATAGTCATAAAGATTTAAGTTTATGACTAATTGAATAATACACTTAAGAGTTTTAGGTGAACCGTCAAACTTCTTATAAATTATTATAAGTTAATTATTAACTATTTTATGATATTTGTGATATCTTCAGATTTTATTTCTATTCCTGAAAAATATATGGTATAATATAGTATTCAAAAGTGGCGTTGGACTTGAAAAAAGGCAGCACAGCAGCCATGTCGGTATCAAACAAAGTTGAATCTAAAATCATGAATTTGGAATTTTCAAAGTCTACAAGCTGTCCCCACTGTTTTGTTGTATGTGCTATAATACGTTTCACAAATTAACCCACCATCTATAACAAATTTTAACACAATTTTATAAGTGCCAATTCTTTGACATACCATGTGCAACAATCAGAAATATTCAGGAATTTTATTTTATTTTTTATCCAACTCTTTAAGCTACCATCTTTGTAATTTTTTTTTTTTTTTATCTAACTCTTTAAGCTACCATTAAATTAATAATTCACCAAAGGTGGTGACCAATTCCTGGTTACGTAAAGTGATGTTAGCTTAAAAAGAATAAATTTTTAGTTGCAAATAATTAAATTTTATGGAGTGAGAGTGGACACCGCTCATGGATTGCATTAGGACAAGTTAGGTTAATTTAGTGGGAAAAAAATGAGCGTCTAAATCACTCAATATTTCCACCAAATTGCTTTTTAATGAGTTAACATTTTAGGGCTTTATGGACCTCTAAAACAAAATCACATTAAATCTCCTCTCTAAATTAACTTCTCCTTAAAGCTATCACATTTAATAAAGAGTAATGCTACAGTTGTGCGCTAAATTTATGCATCGAATAATATAGTAAAATCTTGACCGTTGATTCATTATAAATTAATATTAAGTAATGATTATGATTCTATCACTTCATTCAATATACGAATTTATTATATAACTTTCGATAACTCTATCATCTTCTTTTAATAAATGTGGGGATGGTATGGATTTTCCCACTTTGTTTAACTATATATTTTTATAGATTATAATATTTCCCCCAATCATTGTATGACTCATGTAAAGTAAAAAAATTGTTTTTATTTTTTCAATTTAATAAAATTCAAACCTCCAATTAATTGATATCAGAGATTTGTCGGTAACGAATTGTTGACCCATCCATATTACAAATTATAAAATCGTTCAATCAAATAACATCGAGTTATTTAAGTAATTTGATTTTTAGCTTTTATTTAGATTATTACAACCACTTTAATTTTTTAATTTGTTGAGAACATTCAATTATACATATTTGGTGAAATTTAGTTGGAGTGAAGTGGGCAATGATAAGATAAGAATACACATGGGTAAACAAGTTTTACATGATTTTTGGATTGAATATATAATAATAATGAATCAAATAATTTAATCACTATTTGGTGATCCAATGATAGAAGAGTGGAGAATAATTTAATATGGGTTATCAAATTCGAGTCTCTTTACCGATAAAAAATCAAGAGAAATATCTAATATGATATTTACATTTGATCTTCCAAATTTGAGATTTATATTTAAATGATTTTTGGATTGAATAGAGGTGTCAAATGGCAACTTAATTAAAGAATAATTAAGTGCAAATCAACCCAAATTAGCAAACACCAATTCCACTTAATCAAAGCGCATTTACTTTTCAAAACAAAACCATAATGGCACTTCCGTTATTTTCTCAAAACCTAGTCCTTCTTTCCTTCCTCCACACACCTTATATACCAAACCAAAACCCACACAACCTTCAAAACGAAAAACGCAATAACTCCACAGCACAAGCCGGTGAAACCCATTTTCCCGGCGTCGTCAACCCATTTCTAACTCACCCTACCTCCTCTCTTTTACATGATCTTTATCTCTTGATCTCAACATTTGGCTCTGCTTTTTCAATTTTAGACGATATTGTACTTTTCTTTTTCAAAAATGGGTTCCGAGCTTATATATAGAGGCCATGAGAGTCAGCCTGTTACAGATTCGTATCAACCTAAACGAATCAAACCATGGTTCGCCGTGACCCGACCCATTCGGTACATGCTCCGGGAGCAGCGTCTGGTGTTTGTACTGGTCGGCATTGCTTTAGCCACTCTGTTTTTCAGTGTCATCCCGTCGTCTCGTAACCCTGACGCTCACAACCACCTCGCGATCTCTGATTCGTTGTCTTACTACCCAGCGACGCATGAGAGAATTTACAACCCGCGCATCGGGTTCGGGTCGTTTAATTCGGGCGGGAAGGTGCCCTTGGGGCTAAAGCGTAAGGGTCTTAGAATTGTTGTTACGGGTGGGGCCGGGTTTGTTGGTTCGCATCTTGTGGACCGTTTGATCGCCAGAGGTGACAGTGTTATCGTGGTTGATAACTTCTTCACGGGACGGAAGGAAAACGTGATGCACCACTTTGGGAACCCAAATTTCGAGCTCATCAGACACGACGTCGTCGAGCCTCTCTTGCTGGAGGTTGACCAGATCTACCATCTCGCTTGTCCCGCATCACCTGTTCATTACAAGTTCAACCCCGTCAAGACTATCATATCCTTTTCTTTTTTTCAAAGTTTTTTAATTAATTTTTCTGTTTGAGCATTTGATTTTACTAATAATAATAATAAAAAGGTTTTTTCCTTAACTGTAAAGTTTACAAGACGAATGTGGTGGGAACATTGAATATGCTTGGATTGGCAAAGCGAGTGGGAGCGAGGTTTCTGTTAACCAGCACAAGTGAGGTGTACGGTGATCCTCTTCAGCATCCACAGAAGGAGACTTACTGGGGCAACGTCAATCCCATCGGTCAGTATTTTTCCCTAAATATTGTTTGTTGTTTTTTTTTTTTAATTATGGTATTGACTGTTTGTGGCGCACGCGTTTTTGCTTCCGTCAGAGTAAAATCTGTCTCGTTTCATTTGTTCTTCTTCTTTTACATGGAAACCACACACGTTGCACTTGCACTCATGACTTCAGATCTGATTTTTTGATGGCCGTGATTGGCGGTGTCACAGGGTTCACAATCCTCTAAAAAATTTGAACCTTCTTTTTGATATTTTGGATATTTGAGGTGTTTGTTGTCGCTATCGCATAGGGTAGAAATGGTAAAACAGTAAAACAATGGAAATGTTGAGGGTAGATTGGTCATCCTATTAATATGAATTCTAGTGCATGGTAGATCTGACAAATACTGTTTTCTTGAGTTAATTAAATCTGACAGAAAGTTTCCGAATGTTTGACAGGTGTCCGAAGTTGTTACGACGAGGGAAAGCGAACAGCTGAAACGTTGACCATGGACTATCACCGAGGAGCTGGCGTTGAGGTAGTTAGAATTTAATCATAAACTTTTTATTATATTATACTATAATATATTATAGATGAAATTTTGGACGTTGTATTTGTTTTTTTCTTGTTTTTCAGGTTAGAATTGCTAGGATTTTCAACACTTATGGGCCTCGTATGTGTATTGATGATGGACGTGTTGTTAGCAATTTTGTTGCCCAGGTGCTTGCTTGTTATTTTTATATATTTTCAAAAGTTAATGGTGGTGGGCTAGACGGCTAGTGGGTTGATAATGTTTATAATTAATTAATGATAATTAGCTGCAATGATGCAGGCTTTAAGGAAGGAGCCTTTGACTGTCTATGGTGATGGAAAGCAGACAAGAAGTTTTCAATTTGTTTCTGATTTGGTAAGATATTTTTTTTTTCTATTACTTACTATTATTATTATTATTATTTTCTGTGTCTGATGATACCATATTGGAGTTCTTGCTTATTTAATCGTTTTTTTTTTTCCCTAGTAGCTCTAGGATTAGTAATTGCTTGTTCACTCCGATTTGCTTCTTAATAAAGTATACGAGTTTGACATTTAGAGATTGTAATTTTTTTCGGATGTTATTTTGGAAATGCGGCCGTTTTCTGCTGGAGTAATAGAATATTAGCCACTTGGCATCACAAATGTGATAAAATACAAATTAAGATAACTTTTTCCATGTGGGGTTAGCACGTATAAGGGAAACTGGTTTCTGCATGTGGTACCTGCTGCAAAACTGTTAAAAAAAAGTCTTTTTTCTCTTTCTCTCTCTTCCATGTACGCTTGTGGAGATGAGATGGGTATGAGGGTAATTTTATTTCTGACGTTTCAGTATAGTAAATGATTTCACTAGTGCCAAAAATGGCAATTGAGGGTCTAAAATGTTTTGTGGGAATTTATAATTTGAAAGAGGCATATACCATGTGACTAGAGCCCAATCAAGTCCCCAGTGGGACAGCTATCTTAATTTCTCCATACATATATATTGGGCACGATTTTGTTAGCATAGTCAATTTTTGCTCTAAAAGAAGTTACATTGCATAATATGTGACAAGACAGTGTCATAGCAGGATTCTCTGGTCCCTCTAATCTCTCTGCAGTTAAATTACAATTTCTATGTATTATATATTAGGTTTAAAAGTAAATGCTCCTTAAATTGTATTGGCAAACATTTTAGAGAAGGAAATGAATTATTTGTCTTCAGAGCTTGGTAGGTGGTGCTGGGGTAGGCGATTTCTGAGTGAGGTTACATTGAATGCTACAGTGTAGGAGTATTTTAATTGTTTTAGTTAGGCTTCTTGGGTAACTTTACTCTTTCCTCCTTACAATATTTTGAAAATTCAGCTTGGTCACTGCTGTTCAGTATGATTAAGATGGTTTGTTGAATGTTTGTCACAATAGGTGGAGGGTCTAATGCGCTTGATGGAAGGAGAGCATGTGGGACCTTTTAATCTTGGAAACCCTGGTGAATTCACCATGCTTGAACTTGCTCAGGTAAGCCATCACTGAATTAATCTGTCATGTTTATTTGCTTTCTGGTATTGTTGCTTTCATATTTGTTCCTTTCATTGTTCTGGTCAGAAAGATACTGTAATAAAAAAATGGAATAGCAGAACACTTAACAGAAGTTAGAATTTCCTCTAAGCTGATCTCTAAAATAATCGGTGTCTTTATTTGTGGAAGTTACAGTAAACTCTATTGAAATACATGATTATGATTAGTATGGTCTCCATCCTCCAGTTACATGGAGGGGGCACTCAAGTCATCAATTTGAGATTTAGAATGACTCCTGTTTTAACAAATGGTTACTGTTGAATTTCTGACATATCTTGTTTTAATTGTATGTCTTCTACCTGTATTGGTGTTTCCTCAGAAATCTGAGCAGTCATTTCATTGGTGCAGGTGGTCCAGGAGACAATTGACCCCAATGCTAAGATAGAGTTCAGGGCCAACACTGAAGATGACCCACACAAGAGGAAGCCTGATATCTCTAGGGCTAAAGAGCTCCTTGGTTGGGAACCCAAGGTATCCCTGAGGAAGGGTCTTCCTCTAATGGTCAAAGATTTCCGGCAACGAGTCTTTGGTGACCATAAGGAAAGTGGTGCCACCACGGCCACCACCTCCACCAAGACGTCATCATCCTAAGTTGGCGTGTATACATCAAGAGTGACAGGGAAATGTTTGATGCCATACGATTCCCTTATTTTCATTCTCTTGAACAATATGTTAGCAACATCAACAGCAGCAGTAGTAGCAGATGAGGCCTCTTGTTTCCTTTGATATAGGTTCGAAGTTATCTTGATTGGCGTATGTTCCACTCGTCTTTGTAATTTTTATATTTCTCCCCCTTCTAAACTTAATAGACCGCGAGATTTGAAACTACAAAAATAACATTATATCCTATTCTTTTTTCATGCATCTTGGCCTGGTAGCGGCAGTAGCAATAGATTACCTGTTTCACTCATTCTGTGTTGGGTTTGTTTAACTTCATTACCTCTTTTTTAGCACGAGTTGTATGGTGCCCTAGCTTTCATCGTGGGACGTGGCATTTATGAAACACGAACTACTGGAGTTCAACAATTAGGTAAAAATCGGTTAAAAAACAGTCAATCAGGACTCAGGTCTACGGGCTGTAAACGCCACCCAATTTTTTTGATTTATAGCCCAAGGCGCAGTTGAAAATGAGATAGAAGACAGCCTATACCCCTACCTTCGTTCGACTTTTGAAGTGAACTCTAATTAGAACTCAAAACGCTAGCAGGGTTAACATCATAGGTATCCACTGTTGACGTGAACCATTAGCATAGTTATAGATTGTGAATGATAACAACCTTTCTGAGTGCATACAAGTTAGGCAAATGGCTAAGTCATACACCATTAAAGGAGGACTTATGCAGCAAACCACAAATATCAAGAGTACTTGTTTGAGTATTAACTATTAAGGATCACAAGGAAATATCAAGAATACTTGTTCAAGTATTAAGGATCACAAGGAACTAGCTATATCACTTTAGATTCCTAAGGACAATGATACCAGAGTCCCCTCGGCGGTACAACATACTGATGAATCTATCTTTGTTGACTGGAAGAGCTTGCTTCTACCCTTTTCTGTTTTTTGGTAACTGTACCACAAGTAAGCCCATTTACTTAAATGAAGCATTTGTTCACTAGACAATTAGCATTACAAAGAGAAAAAAGAAAAAAAAAAAAGATCAGTGCAAATGAACCAACCTCAGTCCACATCTCCCTAACATTTTCAAAAACCATGTTGCAGTGTCGATCAAATGCCCTCACACGGCCAAGAAGCTTCTTATTGTTTCGACAGTTAATTAGCACCAGAATGGACAGGCATAATGAAGATGTTAATTAACAGCAAGACTAAACTTTTAATAGCAGAGGAAGCCATATCCATAAAACTATTTCACTCACAGATTTCCCAAGTCAGTACAAGGAGTTCCATGGCCCAAAAGCAGATTAAGCACAAGGGCTCTTTGGAAGTTTTGAAAATTGAAACATGTGTTGGTCCAACATGTACAATGCCACAAGTTCTGGTGAAAACCAACAGAATATTTAATTAGAAGATACACCTTCATGCCTATCAAACAATTCTGTTATACTTTAGAACTCACCTTAAAAGATTCAATCCAATTGGACCATCCCAGATAACTGGTTTGGTGTTTCCAACAGCAAACTGCCCTATTGTTTCTTTTGAGCACTCTTAAAAATTTAAAACGCTTCTTCTCACCACATCAGGAAATTTACTTAACTTTTTGTTCCTATTCTAGGTTACTACTACTGTATCTTACCTGTGTGTTATTTTAACACTCGTCGTCAAAACAGAAAGTGGCCCAGTGTTAAATTCCTCTCCCTCGTTGTTGCCACCCTGCAACAATAAGTATGAATAAGGGCTACAAGCTTTAGTTTAACAGAATAATTGTTAGGCAATATCCAGAAATAGAAGGTAGATAAAAATGCTAATGCAAAAGTATAGCCCCATCTATAAACAACTGAAGTAAACTCATTAAAAGTAAAAGACAAGGGTTTAATCAAAATACAAAAGCTGCAGTACAGGAAATAATGCACATTTAAACCATTTTGTAGCTAATAACTTAAAACATATTAATTACGAAATAGATCAAATTTTGGAATGACAAAAGAAGTTGGATGATTAGAAAACTGAACTTGATCACATGTTCCAAAAAACATACAGTTAACACAATGAATATCTGAAGATAATATAAAACAGAAAAGATGATGGCATAAGACAACCTTTCCAAGATCAATAAATAATAAACAAGACAATAAAAGAAGAAAGTACACAAATGAAAGCATCATAAGCAAGCCTAATGGAGTTGCGAGCACTATATAAAATAAAAGAGTAAGAAAACTTACATTGACATCCTCATCCGTTGGTCTACTGCAAAAGAATAATAATAAGAAAAATTAAAAAAAAATGTTGGCGTATTCTAGATATGCTTATCATAACAAAATTTACCAAGTGACCCAAACGAATATAGTATAGAAAATCTTTTGACTGACGGCTATACATTAGTAAGAAAGCAGCATAATAATTTGATCACCATGTACTCATCTGTTCTCACTTTAAGAGATTTTTGATAACTGTAAATAATTGACAACTATAAGAGCCTTGAATGTACTTTTCCATGTGTGTATATGACACACTATTGCCAATAGAAACTGCACAACAGAGATGGATCACTGTAACAAAATTAAAATCTATGGGCATAATTAAAAATCTCCATGGAAGTTAATTCTCTCATTTCAGTCAGAAATTCGTATAAGAACTTAGTTGGCATATGTGGGCCATACAAACATATTACGATAGCTACAATGCAAACAGATCAACTGTACTTAAAAATTTAAAACAGGTACTTGAGTTTTCAGTTCCACTCGATTAAAGTTCCAAAGATCTCATAGACTGCCAAATACCATCGTAATTTTGATTTTATTTTACTCAACTAACTCTTCAGTCCAGTTTCCCAGTTTAACTTCAAGTTCGGAAAATCCTGCTCGTTAATTTACCTCCTATGTATCCAATGATTAGGGGTATGCATAAATTTTGTGAACTCACAGTCATGGACATGATTTCATACAAAAATGACCACGTCTATACATAGGTACACCATTTATGTAATGTAAAAAATAGAGAAGAAATATTTCTAAAGCTAGATAAAGGAAGTCCTAATTACTATATCATGTAAAGACTCTAAATAATCGAAAATTAAACAGAATACTCGAGGATACCCTCATGTTGACTTGAGCAATTCTCACAAAGAAAACCGAACCTGCAAAACAAATATATAAATGAAAAGGAGTTATAGTTTCTGTTCCGTCAAAATCAGCATGAAACAGAAAGCTAAGAAATTAGAGTTTATGTTAAGAGTGAAGTCACTGCAGTAGATTAAGATACTTTTGATCTACGACTTAGAGATTCTCTGAGAGCTGGAAAATGAAAACTGATGTTATGCATAAAATTTGATTCTATTATGTCTCACAGGACGATTGTTGCAGTCCACATTGGTCTCTTATGCGGGCCGTTAAGGTAGGATCATCTGTGGACCGGGCTCGCCATTTCAAAATTCAAAATTCAGTTTTCCCCTCTATACGATTTTAATTTAAATAACATAATTTAATTTGTTAACTTAAATAAAAAATTCATTTTTATACATAATTTTAATTAAAAGTTAATTTATCATCGAATTTATTAATAATTAAAAACTATATATACATCTTGAATCAAAAGTCTACTTAACTTAACATCCCCTTTCTCAAATTAATGGTGGAATACTTATCCATGACAAAGATTGAGCAAATTTTATTACAGGAATGCAGTGGTCTATAAAATAAAGCATGAATACCAAACCTTATTTTATTTCCAATTAAAAGTGAACCCTTTGCATTTGAAAGGGCTAAGAACCCACTAAATAGAAGTTTGGCTACACACACACAACACAAGAGATTTGGAATTTGAACTAGAGCTACATTGCTGAGTGATGGAACATGCGACGTCCTTTCAACCCACATAAATAGCTACGTTGTTGTTGTTGTATTGATGTAGGTGAGTCGATATCAGTGAGTTTCTGAATGCCATTGCCAAACGGAGGTTGAATGGGTGTGACTATAATGGCATCACTTGAGCGCTTATCAAGCCAAGCTATGATATCACCAAATACAATATCTACGTTTTCATCCGGTTCTCCAGATGTTAAAGCATGCCACATTCCTGGGTACAATTTTATGGTCTTGTCTTTGCTAGTGGCCCGCCCGTATAATGCCTTGCTCACTTCTGGGTCTGTCACTGTGTCTGCTTCCCCGTGTAATACAAAGAATGGTAGTGTCACCTGCCAAACACTAACTCGTTATTAATTTATAAAGAAATCAGGTTATAATAACACAACAAGAAGGGGCATATATTAACCTGGTTTAAACTGTCTTCGAGGCTCATGCTAGTTCTGAGCATTTCCAGTGCTGTCTTCAGCCTGGGCTTATCTTGGTATATCAACTTATTGCTTCTGACCTGCGAAAGTGACATTTGAATCTTTAATTTAACTTGTTCACTTTATCAAAAATAAATTAAAGGTCCCCACCTCTTCTCGCTTAATAGGGTCCTTGAAAGCAGAGTCAATGACATCTTTTGTGGGTACAATCTTCCATTTAGGTATGATCTCTTCCACTCTAGTCAATATGTTGATAACTACAGGATGTGGCTTCACCTTCTCTGAAATCTATACATTTATTGTCAAAAGGCAATAGCCATCTCAATTATATTTCATTAAACTTCAAGCTTTATAGCAATCGTTAATTAAAATTGGTACCTTGCACATTGGTGCAACAAGAACAGCACCATTCCAGAAAGGAGGGTCTTTTTTGTGAAGTAGAAGAGCCACAGCTCCTCCCATTGATTCACCATACAAGAACCTTCCCTTGTCTCTGAACTCTTCCTGCGCTGGAAATTAAACCACATATAGAAAATGAAATATTCTTTGCCATTACATTTCAGTGGAGTGTCGTACAAGATATTTGTTGCAGAGTGCATACCACAAACAGACTTGAAAAAGTCGTAACAGTCATTAATGATGTTTTCAAACTTCTTGATGTAACAACGAGCACCCATGGATCGCCCATGTCCTTCATAGTCAATGCCAAATACAGCATATCCTGCACTTGCTAGCCTGGTTCCACATTCTATTCAAATCATGAAATCACATTAAAATTGGGCCTTCAATTTTCTTTCTTTGATTAATTCACACTTATCTATTATACATGACCAAGTTTTGTTCAACAAAATCAAATCATTCAACAATACTTCACGTTCATCTTAATTTCACCCGTTTCCCACTAAGGCAAAGGTATAGGTAGGTTAGGTAAACAGATTCAATGACATTGACATAGAGGATGTCCCTTCTTAATCCAATCAATATTTCATAGATTTATATATGGGGACCCATATTATTCATGGTAATTAATTAGTTGGGACAAATGTAGCACCCCTTGGTTCTCTTACGTTAGTTATGTTTAGTTGAAGCAGTGGGTCTAGTTGAACCCAACAATTGATTGTTAGCCTACCAAACCAGGTTAGCTGACCAACATACTCAATTTCAGGTCATAATCCAACACCTGACCTACATATCCATACAAATTGTTTATATATTTAGGGAAAGTTGGCGTCCTGTAGCAATAATATTTAATAAAATAAATATTTGTGGTGTAACTACAGAAACATCATTTTCAGGAGTAAAAAAGTTTTATATATCGTGATTAAATAATCAGTCAAACATAAGTTCGGTTATAATGTTATTGTATTTTATAAGGACTTTAATTAAATGGAAATAAAATATTAGTGTTAGTTACATATAGGTATTAATAATAGATGGGGAGAATCTCATGAATCATCACTAAGAGAAGAGAAAAAAGAAAAGAAAATAGTATAAACGACGAAAAGTCATGGATCATAAGATTTAAAAGCACATAATTGATGAAAAGAAAGAAAGATAATGTGATAAAGATAAACAACGTACGGTTGGTTACAGCTCACTAGTGGCCTCCTCATATTATCTGATGAAGTCACCGCATGAGGATGAGACGACAGGTGTGACTGAGAATAGGGGAATATTCTACAAATGGCTAATGGCTTCATCTTCTAATAATTGAGTATGGGAGATACAAATTTAGAAATCATTATCACTAATGAAGACATGAACAAACAGAGGAAAAAGATGCCTTATGGTTATGGCTTATCTTCAGGAAGGATTTCATTTTCAAGAAGAATCGAGAGAATAACCCATGTTGTTTAGTGGTTATAATTTTTCAGCTAACTCCTGGTTGGAAGAAACTTTGTAATTAAGAATATTTAGAGTAACCGTTGGATTTGGTTGAGTTTTCTTATGTAGGCAAGAAAAATCCGGAGAAAGTTATAATTACTTTTGAAATTGGGTAAGAAAACCTATTAATAAAGATGATCACATGTGTACTGGAAAACAGAAACAGAAGAAACGAAAGGTCATTTAATAGTATTTATTACCTCTCATGAAACCGCTGCATTCCATGCCATAACCTGCAAATCCCATTAATGAATTAAATTATCACAACCAACCAACAAACAGACAGAGAGAGAAGGTTCAGAGTGGTAAGAGAGGGAGCTACCATGGCAAAGGAAAACAACAGCTTTTGCAGAAGAGAAAGGCAGCCATTTGCAAGTAAAAAGCTGAACTCCTCTTGCATTTCTTATATACTCCTAATATCATTCAACACCAAAATCCCATCAACCAAAATAATCCATAGAATCATTTCCTAACAAAAGAAAAAATGATAATTAAAAGCATACTTACCTCCTGATACTTTACTACCATCTTGTCATTTGGGTAAATTTCAACTTCCATCTTCTTGTAAAATCAAAGAACACACTCGTTATCCAATTACAATCAACTCGAACATTCCCTCTCTATATTCTGGATCTATATTTATGTATGATATTCAGAATGATAGGTAGATCTGCGACAAATAGTAATGCGATGAAGGGTGGTGCAGGGTCAAAGGAGAGAAATTTTTGCTTTTACAACACAAAAGATAGCGAAGAAAAGGTGGAAAGTTGAGGAGGTAGAAAGATAAATAAATAGAATAGTCGGAAACGACACGGTTGCAATTATATAAGCTCGTCGATAAGTTCGAATATTGATGAGATGACACGTGCCCATACCGTAAACCAGGGAACTTCTATAGATGCTATTGCTGCATCAGACTGTACTCCATTCTGATTGAGACTTGAGAGTCTCAACCCAATCCTGATCACATTTCCCCAATTCCCCGTATAACTTTCTGACCCCACTTCAGATACTTCTATTCTGTATTTTGAAAAATACGTTGGCCATCGGCTTATCGTCAAACGTCCGTTTTTTTAGAAACATTTAATCAGCTAAAATTTTATGAGTTTTAAGACAAAATGTAATCAGTATGGCTAAAATAAGAGGAAACGACTTACACCTACTCAAGATTTTTCGTAATAATAGATTAGTATCTAAAAAGTATGAAAATAATAAATATGTATCTTTTGTTATATGCTGTTAGTGATTTTTATTAGCTAATGGTAAAAAAATTAGAATGTTCTTAAAAGTTTGATATTTTAGTTTTTTATAAATTTAAAAATTTTAAAAAACCTCATAGGTTTTGCTAATTTAACTAAACACATCAATATATAGAAATTTTATAAAATAACAAAAACATCCCTACTACCAGCAGTGCCATATTTTGGCCATCACAGCCAGAATCTGACCAAAAAATTGCGTAACGACATATACCGATCGAATCTGATCGGTATGGCGTCCCTATAGCCTTTTTTGGCCAGATCTAGCCGTCGACAGCCGCAAAACTTCATCTTTGGTCGTCGTTGTCTGCGATGACCAGATCTGACATTTTCCAGCCAGATCGGTGAATTATCGGTCATTTCCTGTGGTGATGTAGACCGTTGTGACAGATTCCAGCTACCACTGACGGTGGTTGCCGAAATCTGGCAAATATGGGTGGATGGGGGTGTTTTTGTTAATTTTTAAACTTTTTTCTGGGGGTATTTATGAAATTAATAAACTTAGCGGGTCTAAAAATAATTAAAAAAATAGACTAATATTTCTCAAATAAAGTTTGGTGATTGTACATGAAATTACTGTATTATCCTTTTGCAAACGAAAATCAGTAACAACACATGACGAAAAGTACCAGTTTATCGTTTTCAAACCTTTTGTCTTTTGGGTACCAATTTGTCATTACGACAAACCTTGGATAGGTGTAAGTCGGCCCTAAAATAATGATATAATGTTGTTGGTGTTCACCGAGGTACGTGCACCATTTTTTAATGCGAAAGCCGATGTTGACAAGGAGAACGACTATTTCCCACCCGAGGTTTGGTGAATCAAGACTTTCCCATCGTCAAGTTTCAAAATGACACTTTCCCACCCATTGTTATATGCCGTTAATAAAATCTATTATCACTTGATTATAAAAACGAAAGTATCTTTTATTATTTGATTTAATAATTTTTTTTATTATTTTATGTCATGCAACAAAGTCAATTACCAATATACTCTCTCTTTAAATTTGAAAGTTGTATATAAATTTTACTTAAATTTCAGTAAAACATTATTTTTAATAAAAAGTTAGAGAGACAAATTTTAAATTTACATTCCCATTAACAATGACAATACCCTGTAATTGAGCAGTAATGAAAGTTTGTTGGGCGGGTATCAAAATAAACATTGAGAAAATTCTACAGAGAGAGAAGAAGCAGAAACATGACAAAATCAAATCAATTTTTTTTTTTTTTTTTTTTTTCTTTTGACTGGTTCTTGTCTCTCCTTTCACTTCTTTACTGCCCACACCATACACACTCTCTGGAACAACAACAACATTTTGCAAGATCAAATTTTTACTTTTCTAGTATTCGCATAGACCATAGTACCCACTACCCAAAAACCTCAAACGCACATGGCTTCTCTAACATCTCTCTTTCATTCTCCAACCTTAATTTCCCGTTGTTCATCATCTTCTTCTTCTCCTTCCTCCACCAAATGTATTATGCACAAATCATCATCTTATTTTCCTTCTTTCACCAAATGTATTCTGCCCACATCATCTTCTTCTTCTCTTTCCTCCATCAAACCCATCAAAATTTCCAATCTCTACTGATATTATTTAACTGAAATTCATATACATGTTTTTTTCAGGCACCCAAACAACACAACATAACATCCAGCAAACCCATTGAAGTTTTTTTATCTCTACTGATTTAACAATTAAAATTCATATACAAACTCTTTTCACAAACCCACACAACGCAAAATTCAACATCCAACAAACACAAAACACCCATTTCAAGAAAAGAATCTTCAAATCCTCCAACCACTAAAAATAAACCCCCAAATCACAAACCCACAAACCATAAGATCCAAAAGAAAAATTGTGAGCCAGAAAAGAAAGGGGGCTGAGGTGTCGACGTCAGTGTCACGGTCAAGTTGTGTGTTTATGACGCTGCCTTCGGCCATGATTTGGTTGGTTGCGAGCTGAGTTAGTAGCATCGCAGCCAACCCAGCTCGTAGCTAAAGGTTGCAACGCTGCCAACCGAGCTGGCGGTTGCAGGTTATGCCAGTTTCGCAGCCTCCAGCGTAGAAGGAAGAGATAATGGCCAAGAAAAGACAAGAAAAAAAAAAAAAGAAAAAAAAAAGAGAAGGAAAAAGCATATTTCAATTTTTAAATTTTGATTTATGAGACATCACGTAAATTAACTATCCTGCCCTTCTTCAGAACGAGAGGGGTGAAAAAATATCGTTTTGAAACTTAACGGGTGGAAAAGTGTTGTTTCACCAAAACCTTAGGTGGGAAAAGGTCGTTCTCCCATGTTGATAACGGTTGGTGGTGAAATTCATCCCACGGAAAATGTCACATCATGAGTATTGAGTAATGAATATGGTGTAATGATCAACTACATCGGTCTCAATAACACAGCAACATTCATTCTTTGTCTAGAGGCTTCCGAAATTGGATTTTATTATAGGAGTGATTGATAAAACTGAGGTAGGAGGAAGCAGGAGACGAAATGCCAACCAATGTTCTTGCACCAGCACAGCAATTCAAACCACATCACCTTCAACAACCAACCCCATTAATCATATCATGGGATAGATGGGACATTGCAGTCAACTCTGCTACCGGTCCGGTTCTTCATTTAATCGTATCGTATTCGTGCCTAAGCATCACTTCAAATATTTTCATAAACACAGCAGGGAAAAAAATGACCTTGAACATTTTAATTTTAAACTAATCTATTTTTTTTTTTTTTTATAAATAATTAAGCAATCCTTTCAACTTCGTGTTTCCATGAACAAAGAAAGTCGACAAGTTAGCAATTACCAGACCCATTTATTATTTTTTAAACTTTGATTACCTTAAGTGAAATTGTGATCCATATGAGGGTGACAACATTAGCATTTCCAAGTAAAGTTTCAATAAGTGACCAACAGAACCAAACTAATTTTTCGACCACGATAATTTCAGATATCGGGAGTGATTAGGGAGGGAGAATCTGGGTGATGGAAAGTTGGAAACACTTGAAGTTACAATAGGCTGATCTAATCTCAGTGATGGGTTCAAATGTAATGGAGATAGTTCCCAGGAAGATATTCAATTGACATTAGATCGAATTACCCTTATAATAATGTATATTAAATACAAAGAATTTTAATCATTATTAATGAAATCTTAACTTTGACCAATAAATGTTTACGGGGCACACAGATACTGAAATGGCAGCCATCTGCCATCCTAGACATTGGTGAATAATTCAAAACCAAATTATTAAACATTATGCACTCACAAACGTCTCATTTTCAATCTCTTTCAAATGCTTATAATTTAAAAAAAAAAAAAAAAAAGTAGATAATCGACCAAACATGCCCATCAATGTGGACGCTATAGAGGTCAATAAATACTGTTTCAATGACATAAAACAATGCAGTTGCATTAAAAGGGTCAATTCAAGTCTGTCAAAATACTCTGCTAGATGAGGACATGTCAGAACTAGGAAAGGGTTGTTTACTTGTTTTAATAGTCTGTTGCATAAAAATTAAATTAGTTTTTCATTACTGAACTTGCATCTACAAGTCATGTAACTACATATCAAGTTTTCGGGGAAGTTGTTATTTGACAAACAGAACTTATTAACGTGTTTTGTCCTATCCACAAGGGATGTGGCACATCAGAAAGCCATTCTCATTCAACAAGAAAGTTTCAATCTGATTCTTAATTTGACAATATCAAATTTGTTTCCTCCTGACATCGGATACCCGAGTAGATTGAAGTCCCAACAACTGCCACATCCCCTGCAACCCCCAATTTTAATCTTATTTGTCAGTGCTTTCATGGATCACTTGAGATCTAAGGTGTTTGGTAATCTACTAGTTCCGTGGATGCATTGTTGACCTGTGTGATTGATTCAGCAAGTACTATGATATTGTTGATTTACCAAGCTACAAAAGAACACACATAGCATACATTTCATAGCTGGTTTACAAGCTGACAGAAACAAGGAAGCATCGAAATTTAACTCCTGGTCCAGGCACAAATGAAACTTAAGGTTAATAATCATTTCAATTTAATTTGTAAGATGATACCTATGTGCATAGATAGAGAAAAAAACTAAAGAGCAATCTGTCTACCATTCCAGTTATGTGCTAAAAGGGAACACAAGCTGAATGGAAATTTCACTTAGGCTTTCAGAAAATGACAGTGTCTATGGTCTTAAGTTGTCAAATCAATGAGATAGGTAACATAGATCTAATGAATGGCTTTGTGCTAAGAAGTATGAAATAGTATGACTAGAAGGTAACTCAAAATAGAAGCCAGAGAAAGCTACAAATAGTCCCAATTGAAAGGGCAGCCCACAAAGGGAAAGCCCAGAAAAGAGATTTGCATGAAGTCGGACTGTGAGTTATATATGTAAAATGACTAAATGCTGAAGCTTTTATCTTGATCGACAATACGAGCTCATAATCTAGCACAAGAGAGTAATTCTCAGGCGTATCAAAGATTACCCATCAGCTTTATACTGATTTTTAGAAATTTACATTCAA